CAGTTGTGTATGTTGGAAGTGATGATGCCTTTCCTCAGCATCGATGGTCTCTTATACGGGTATATTGGCGTGGCGACAATGCTTTGGAGGTTGGCTTCGAACTCCAGAGGTGAGTGATTAGATAACGGCGGAAGATAATCTGCTGTAACCATTCCATTGAGCAAGGAATTTGTCACGCATTCCTGCACAAGGAGGTTGCTAGGTGTCGGTAGAGCGTCGAACTCAGAAACGAGAGGTGTTGTAAAGGTCGCTTGTCTTCCTTCGGAGGTTGATAAATTGGTACCATTCTGTGGGAAGAAGACAAGAGGCTACACACTGTGCTTTCGATGTAACTGTCGACGTTGCCTTTAAAAATATGTCACTTGTCTGATGGCATGGAAATGGAAATCAGGGTTTCGCCATTAACTTCATGAAAGTAGGTGTCAGGATGGCAGACATTTCAAATGACACAAACACAAACGTTCTTTTTTCCATGCTTTCAATGAAAGGATTACTTTACAGTGTTTTCCTATTATCAGTCATCCTTGCGATAAGGTATTAAGGTTGTTTACTGTTTATGTGCTAAATATTAATACTTTCTTTCTCAACTAATTTTATAATTGGTAATTTGTTTTCGTGCACTATGTCTGATCCCGTTCTATTTCTTACTAACAGTGCCATCCTAATGCAGCTACGATGGCTTTTTCATATATAGTTCATGCGGAGTGAGCATACCAAATGTAATATGATTGTCTCCTTGAGGTGCGAGATCATTGTAGGTCTTACACGATAACCTTCTCGCATTTCCTGACTTTGGCTTAAGTTATTCAATTCAATACTAGAGAAAAAACAAGTAAAATCTGGAATATCCTCACAAACTTTCAGACTAAGGCCATCAGTGAACTCTGTAAAAATTTTAATTTGCATTTACAGCTTGTGTTGGTTTGAGCTTCAAAACTTAAAATCATATTCACCGAAAAATTTATTTATAAAATTAACTTCCTATGTTTGCTTGGAGCAGTCAAATGGGGTGTACTCACAATGCATACGGGAATCAGAATATACCGTTCTTCCACATGCTTATGAAGACGATATCATCCCTTCAGTTTGAGGTTCCTGTTTATCGGAAACCGACTTCAACAAATATTCACAATCGAGGTAATGTGCCTCGCTCATTCTTTCTCAAAGCATTGTTGACGTTCGCCAAAAACAAGAAATTGCTTTCGTCAGAGGCGCTGAAATTCGATACCTCTAGAAAGTATTGCTGAAAAATGTGTACTCATGGAAACCACTTGACAGTGAACGTTTGCACCCTGGCTCCAACTTGATGGAGCTGTTTTAGAAGAAACCTATGGTAAATTTGCTCTAGATAGCGGAGGTAACTCAGCCAACAAGAATTTACCTCAGCAACATGGCACTGAGGGTACAAAGCAAGATCAGCATGAGTTTAATAATGTTTATATTCAAGAAATATCCCGGATGAGATATTGAACGCAGTTTCCTGCTTCGGATGTGGAGATTGCAATGAGATATACTTCACAAGGACCTGCGGGAAATTGAATATCCGGATCGAAGGTCAATTACATGCAGTCCACCTCAGGTAAGCTGATTATTCTAATATTGGAAAACACGCCCTTTCTGAGATGGGACGCTCTAGTCAGACAGACGTGTCTCTAATCGGTTAAACCTTGGCAATGCTTAGTCTTTTGATAAAGGAGTCTGCTATGTTTTGGCACTGAAACACCATAATAATGAAACTTGGGGGTGTTATTACGAATTTGATAAGGAAACTTGGAACCATTAAATGAGTGACAAAGACTAAATTCTAAAATTTGAGGTCGTGAATGTGATGGTTAGAATCTGGTATCTTTTATATCAAGTTATTTTATTTATATGGGCCTGAAGATCAGTTGTACCTTGAGGATACAATCAAGTGTGTAACGAAAGGCGTTGGTAATAAAACTTCAAGCATCTGCGTTGGGCTGATTCGGCAAAGTAACTGTAAAAGTCGTTATAAATAACACATGATTCCGGGCTCATAGTTAATCAGATAGGTGGTTAAGCGACAACATTTTGCAACATTTCGTGTTCGTCCTTATCTCGTTGGAATGATATGAAA